GCCAACAGGTGTGCTTCTGGAGCGTGGCCTCGGCCTCTCTGCCACTGAGTTTGACTAGAATGGCACATTTGGTTGGATTGACGCGCAGGCCTAGTTTCTCTACCTCCGACAAAAGCTGTAGGATCATTTTGTGAGCTGCGTCCACGTCCGCTTTGTTACGGATTGTGCGATGCATGGTAAAGTCATCGGCGTACCCAGTGAAGTATCTGCGGACATTGTCCCAGCCAAATGTTCCTATCAGCCTGTGCAGAAGACGGCCTGTTAGAACGGAAAACAACGTAGGGGCCAGCTTGCAGCCTTGTTTGATGCCTGTGGTGGTTTCCACATCCTGGTGGGCCCCTTGTGAATGGAGCCTGTACTTGGATCGATGATGCAGGCCATGTATCAGTTTTTGTAGGGAGAGATCTGCGCCTAGTTCATCAAGCAGAGACAAGATTTCGCTGCGGGATACAGTGTCGAATGCCTGTGACAGGTCTAGTGCAAAGGTGATGCCGCCGACTAGACCAACAGGACATTGTCCCCGCTGCTGATCCGCTCTGGTGAGGTTCGCATTGCGACACAGTTGCCGAGCCTCTCTCAGGTGCTGTACCACTCTACTCTGAGCGTCAGAGAGACCCCGCCCCGGTAGGTATGCAAACTGAGGGAGAGGCTTCATGTACGGCAGCGTGAGAGGTTCCAGGAGCTCCTTAGCCGTTCCCGCCAGGCCTTTAGCATCCGGCCGGAGTATTCCCAGCGGCCTCTGGGAGCTTGTCAGCCGCTTGCCCGGTTTGGGGATTAAGCAGAGATCCGCTCGTGTCAGATCATCGTCTAGTGGCTGGTCCTGTGTCAGAGCAGAACAGTAATGTGAGAGCGCCTCGGATACCGGCTGTGCGCAGAGCTTCCAGGCTGCGGCCGGTGCTGCTCCTTTCGGAACTGCCTTTCCAGGTTTTATCGAAGCAATATGTTTCGCCAACTTGGTCTGCGGCAGTAGGGGCAGAAATCCCGCGTCAGAAGGAAGCGGTGGGTGCGCTGCAAAGACCTTGGTGGCGTACTTGCCCAACTCTGCAAGTTCATTTGCTGGGCTGAGCAAGAAACCGTTCGAATCCTTGAGCTGAGCCCTCAGAGCTGGTTTCCACGGTCGAAGATGCTTGAGAGTTTGGTATGCTAGGTGTTGGTCTCCCTGATTGAGAGCCTGGTCCACCTCGGCGAGGAACCGCTTGGTTTGGTCTTTGCGAGACTGCTTGACCGCCAGTTTGTGCTGGTCGTATAGCAGTTGACGGGCAGCTGCGTCTGTAGCTGATTCAGCACTGGTGTGAGCATTGCTCCCTCGTGCAGAGCGCCACATTCTTCTAGCAATGCACGTCTCCGGACTTTCTGGCATTGCCACCGGGTCTTAGGGAAAAACCTGGAGGTGGCTTCGCCAAGAAGGCGATCCCATGACGCCGGCTGCATGTCCGGAGTGAGACGGGTTGTGACCCACTCAAGCATTTGCTGAGCCGGCAGCGTGTTGTCCCTCACAGCCGCTTGCAGGGCAGCAGCGTCAAACTGATGTGTCTGTATCTGAGGAGGCGGCAGATTCCAGTGACGTACTGGCTTGACAGTCGCACTGATGGGCAGGTGCCCGCTTTTCTTCCAGCTGCCCAGTGGAAAAGCCGCCAGTGGCGTGGAGGCCTTGGCAGTGCCTCCGGCTGACACCTCTCGCGTAAGCACAAAATCAATGTGTGTGCGTGTATCCCCCTGTTGGTACGTAAATAATGGCTGAGGTCGCCACGTGTTGAGGGCCACCAAGCGATGACTCAACAGGAAGTTGGTGAGCTCTGGTTCATCAGGTCGCGGTTCCTGTGGGCTTATGAGCTCTGGACCTACCAGCCTAGGCTGCTTTTGCATGGAGCTATTGAAATCACCTGCTATGAGAAGCGTGTCTCGGTGTGGCACCCTTTGCACACATCTGCCAAGAGCTTTTAGGACCTGTGCCCTGTCCTGACGATTGTTCTGCACCTGTTTGGCCGGTGACCAAACATGTTGGTACACAGCAATCAGATGGATGCGGGCCCCGTGCCAGTCAAACCTGACTTCCAGGGCTCTGCCTATGACATGTTCCTGCCATCGCACACCTTTAGGTTGTATGTGTGGGGACAGAAAGACCATTACTCCGTCCGCGCGGGTTGTCGAGGGTTCCTTGCGGGGCGGATGGGTCTTGTCGTGCCTCTGCAGGTGGCTGTATGTGGGCCTTGCCCCCGCGTTGTTTGCGTCTAGAGGCTTTCGGATCTGCAGCAGAGGCAGACGAGATGCAGTACCAGCCTGCAACACTAAATTCAGCCGTAGCCTGCCAGTGGGTCTCCTGCAGCACAAGAACATCACAGGTGTGACGTGCCTCAGTGGAAAGCCATGATTTGACTTCCGACCATTGCTGCTGGCCAAGGTGGCCTGCATTCCAAGACAGTACACGGAGGGGCCTGGTGGCCTGTCCTGCTCTAGACCGTGGTGCGAAAGACTGAGTGGAACCTGGCCGCGGTGGGCAGTTGCCCATGCGCCTGAGAAGAGCAGGGGTCATAACCTGACCTCGGTAGGAAACGGGTTGCTGGCTTGCAACCACCTTTCTGCAAACATGCTTGAACGAATTCTTCCTGATCTGAGAATAATTTTGTGAGTGCACTGGGAGCAGCGCCATCCGCTATTTCGTCACAAGGCAAGCCGAGTGACTCCCTCCACCACGCGGTTAGTGGAAACCCTACCGCCTGCCCAGTGGGCCCGTGTTAAAACAGGGTACTGGGTCCAGGAATTGGGACCTGGCGGCTCAGACGCAAACTGTTGGCACATGGCACATGGCTCAGCGTGAGGAACCAACCCTTAGTCGTTCGGAGAGAGGCCTGTTTGAGACCTCTAGCAACGCAAGGTTGGAATCCAGAGCCTGTTCGAAAGCCAGCGCGAAACTTCCAAAACGTCTGAGCCGTGGCGGCTACTACTACTACTACTACTACTACTACTACTACTACTTCTACTACTACTACTACTACTACTACTACTACTACTACTACTACTACTACTACTACTACTACTACTACTACTGCGACTGCGACTGCGACTACCACTACACTACTACTATTACTACTACTACTACTACTACTACTACTACTACTACTACTACTACTACTACTACTACTACTACTACTACCACTACTACACTACTACTACTACTAATACTACTACTACTACTACTACTACTACTACTACTACTACTACTACTACTACTACTACTACTACTACTACTACTACTACTATTACTGTTCATAGTACTGATCATGATATTCACAACAGGCAATGATGTCAACAGTTTCACATATTAACAGCAGTAAGAGCATTGCGGAACCACAATATCAATGACACATGACAACAATAGTAGCAAATATTGTGATAATAGGAACGGAAGCAAGAGCAGTGAACTCAGAGACCGCAGTGTGTGTCCTGTGAGGCGCAGGTCGCTGTTGGATGTTGGCCGGCCAGCAGGCGTGGCGTTGCAGTGGTGAGGTCAGTGGCCGTGATTCCGAAAAGAGCAGCTCTGAAGTCAGACATGTGATTTGGCGCTGGGTCCAACCTTGAACAGGCAGTCGATGGAACCAGACCGAAGGGACCTTGAGTCAAACGTCCAGGCTGCGAAAATTTGACAGTGCAGATTTCGCGGGTCCTCACCTTTGGATATCTCTCCCCTTTCGTGCAGTTGGGGCATGCTTGCATTGGAGTTGATGGCCAGCTTTCATTGGATCTTAGGTTGTCCTTTCCCCCCGGTTGAGGTTTGGAGCCGGTTGCATGCCAGCTTGTTCAAACATACGGATCACAGAGCTGAAAAGTTTGCAGGGAGAGCTGGAAAAAGATACGGCCAAGGGTTGCAGCTCGGGAACGTGTGTGAAGAAATGCCAGGTCGGATTCCAGATGGCAGGACGAGAGACCAGGCCAGTGGAGGACACCACCGTTGGCTTGAGTCTGCGGATGATGTCGTTTGAGACGGGGGCTCTGACTCAGCGGACGACCTGTACTCGATGCAATAGACAGACAGGTTTGCATAATTGTCTTGGCCGTGTGGGAAGACTGCAAGTTCAGCTGCCGCCGCAGGAATAAGAGTGCCTGGCGATGTTCAAGCGAGCTTGCTCTTCAAACACAGACTGAAGTGACTGCAGGATGGGTGATGTCTCTTTGCCAGCAACTCCTCGGGCAGTGCTACCAGCACTCAAGGAGAGGTGCTTGCAGTGAGCTCGTCATGCCGTGCCCACTGCTGTGCAGATTTCGTTCAGGAAAGCTCCAAGTGGATGAAGGTCAACAAGCGGGTGAGAGATGCAATACTTGGGCAAAGTGAAAGCGGCCCGTCGAAAAGCAGCTTCCGACCCAGGTACCCAGGTACTCTTGAAATGAACACCGTTCACAAAGATCACGCTGAGTAGCTTCTTGTCCTGCTCCGTGCTTGTGCTTCATGCCACTCCGCTTTGCATGGGCATGTTTTGCGTTCTTTTGAGTGCCTCTCTGCCTTAATGTTGTGAGTGGTGTCGGTTCGGGCCCGCTGCTCAAGATCCCTCCCATCCACATGTCTTGTCTCGGCTATGTGCATCTGCACATGTGCCATGACCTGAGGTCTTGCACGGGAATCGGCGAGCGGCGCTCGGCGTGCCTCTGCTGCAGGGCACGCCGCAATCCAGGCGCCTGGCAACGAGGAGCCGCGAGTGCCGAGCCGAGCCGAGTGCCGAGTGCCGAGTGCCATGGCGGAGCGGAGCGACGGAGCGCAGAAGTGGCGAAACAGAAGAAGAAGTGGCAGAAGAGAAGAAGTGGAGTCGCGCTTCCGCGCTTTTTTGTCGCTTCCTCCTCGGAGGACGCCTCCGAAGAGCTGGGCCTGCAGGAGCTCCAGGGAGTTCTTCTCGGCGGTAGTTGATGTAATTCGCGGGAGGCCTGCGAGGCGGTTCGAATTCCATCCAGTACAACTTCCGATAATCTTGTCGGGCACAGACTCAGAGTTTGACTGCAGAGGGGGGGAGATGGGGCAGGCAGAAAGAAGAAACCAGAGCTGCTCCGGGGAAGAGTGGGCTGCCAGAGAGAGGGGGCCAGGGGGAGCAAGCCGGCAGGGCACTCGCGGTTTGAGACCGTTCCCGACTGCTGGCAGGTTCGTCGGCCTTCGCTGCTTCGTCGTGACTCGTTTAACGCCGCAGCTCCTACGCAACCGGCCAGCCCTAGAGGAGGCTGGAGCCAGTTCTGTGCTTTGTATGTAGGGCAAGCTCGGCTTCTGTCTGGCGAGTTCTGGCGGCTGCGCCTGCTGCACCGATGCCGCCACCTAGTGTGGCACAGTTGGCTTCGGCTCTGATCGACCACTTCGGATCACTGTGTCTCGGCATATCTCGGCGATGCAGCTCCCGTTCATAGCAGTGTCAAGCTGAGGACCAGGGCCTACGACCACTTCGACTTCAGCCGCAAAGGAGGGTCTGCAGACTTCCCCTGACTGAATTCGTGACATGTTCTACTCTGTTCTGCAAAGTCGGCAAGCGCTGCTTGCTGGTGGGGGCACCAGGACGCTTCAGCCGTGCCCAGTTCTACGCCGGCTGTGCCAGCGTCAGGCCCGTCCGGGAGGAGGATATAGGGAGCAGCATCTCTGGGGTCCCGGGCGACTGCCTTTCTCGGAGCTTTTTCGTTGCAGTCGCAGCTCCGATCTATTATGATCTGTTCTTTTCCGAAGCAAGCTCTGGGCCAGGTTGAATTTTCGCACTCTGTCGGGTCGCTGGCTCAGATCTTCCGGCGACTCTTACCATTTTCATATGTTAGTACCGCAACTTGATGTCTCGACTTCTCGCACGGGCAGAGTCCCAACATCCGCGAACAGAGTTTGGAGCCAGGTTTAGATCCATGAAGAAAGCACCAAAGACCAAAGACCATGGATTATAAAGCTTCAGCGGTCTGCCCTCTTCGAGTGCAAGGATGCTGCAGTGTTGCTGAGGACGCAAGTGTCGCCCCCATTCGATTTCGGCTCACCCCGCTTCTGTGCAGGTCGCGTGCACCTCTTCAAACTTTGTAGTTGTTCTTCAAGACCGAAGGTGGGTTGAACCCCCACGTGACACACGTCGATGTGCTGTGCAATACTGTATCAGTATCAGTGTATTCAATAGTGTTGTGCAAGTGCAAGGCCTTCAGGCGTGCAGAAGCACAAGTCGGTTGCCATCATTGTGACAAGTTGACTCAGACATCACCGCCTGAATTTCATCCAGAAAAATCGTGAGAAGGTCGTGGCTTGGGCGTTTGCCGTGTTCAGACTTCGTAACACTGATGCGTTCGGCCACCGGCTGCTATGATCATACCTGTTTTTGCGCTACTTGTAGAGCATTGGGAAAGGAGAACGGGCTTCCGTGACATGCCCTGTGGTTCGTTTGATCTGATGGTCGTTAGCAAGGTTGAGACAGAAAATTCGGAGCCCTGCGACATGCATCCAGGAGGTTTGCAGGATCAAGGTGGGTCGTGCCCTCATCAAAATCGTGCTGAGGGTGGGTCGTGCCCTCATCAAAATCGTGCTGAGGGCTTACGGTGCGCGAGATCTTCAAGAGAATGGACGATGCAAATTTGGAGGACCTCGTTGCCATCTCAAGTGGGATCTTCCATCCAGTCAGAAATCACACGAAGGTATCCGGCAAAGTAATCTCTCCTATAGCATGCTGGGCAGTTCTTGGCCTGATGACTGTCGCATCCTCCTTGTGTTCACCACGGCAAGGATCATCCAGAAGCTCACCGTGTTGCACCCCGTGGAGAAATTTGCCGGATGCTGCTCGCCAGCGCTCTCCGTTCGATCTTAGCGGCACGTGCCTGGTCTTTTACTCATGTGGGACTTGTGTGAAAAGAGCTCGAGTGAGGAAGTGGATGAACTTTTTCGAGATGGAGTTGCAGGGCTCGGAGGACTGCCGGCGCAATCGACAGTGCGTCAACACCCACCTGATCACGTTTGGGCTTGGGCGTAGTCCGTGCAGAGCTTCCAATTGTGCTCCGAATCTCGTTTCTATGATTTCTTGTCTTCGGTTATTTCTCGGCAGCCTTGACATATGCCACTGCTGCAGACGGCAGAGCTGCTGACAGCCGACAAAGGATCCGAGGTTGGCCGTGAATGTGTGGCAACCTGCTTTACAGAGGGTCACCAGGTTCAGAGGTCTGCATGTTCCAAACCGAAGATGATCCTCATCAGAGGATACAAGAAAAGTCGTGAGAAACCGCGGGGCCGTGGAGCGCGTCAGGTCGAGCGGCGCCTCGAGGAGCGGCGGAAGGCTCGCAGATGCTTGAATGCGAGCGAGAGCGAGCCTCTGAGCCTTTCACAAGTCGTAGCCGGCGAGTCTCTGCGCGCCTCGTGACAGGAGCGCGGCCTGCAGAGGGTCGGGGAGGATTCTGCGCCGACATCCCCGTCAGGGGCGGCCCCAGCTGGAGAAGAGACAGCTCCAACGGTTCAAACTGTCGCAGAGGCAGTTTCTTGGGATTCCAGCTCAACTGGTGCGTGAGACTGCTGACTGTGAAAACGTGTTGCCGCAGGTAGCTCGTGCTCGAAACGTTTTCATGAAGAGGCTGAAAGGGATCGCTGCAACTGGGATTGCTCATGATTGTTCTGATTGCTGGGCCTTCACGGGTGGACACAGCCAGCCACTGTGCACGAGCCAAGGAATCCGAATCCCGCGAAGTCAATCGAAGTGCCCAGGGATCCGATTCAAAAGACAGAGGGATGCACCCAGACCGACGAATGTCCTCATCCAAGAATAGGAGGACAGGGCTTAGCTGAGTTTTTCACCGGCCATTGGCAAATCTTTTTCGGATCTCGCATCAGGACCAGTGGAACATCTGGCAAGGGAAGTTCGGACGACGAGGACCTGCAACAAAAGCGAGTGATCCACTTCGTGCGCTTCGCGCGTGGAGAAAAGCCCCGCCTGTGCAGCCTCAGGACGCGGCCATGGCGCGACAGGCCTCAAGCTATGGGGGCTTATTCGTCAAAGCGCAATGAAGTTTTTCAAGTGCAGGGTTGTGGCGCCGTAAGATGGATTTGCCTGCAGTCCTCGGGCACTTCATCGCAGCCCGTGCAGCCCATGACCACTGGGCGAAGAGGCCGGGGCCCAGGCATATAGAGCATGGGGTTCCTCGCTCGTTCAACCCTATGGTCTGATTTCTCATTCCATTGAAACTTCAAAGGAAGCTCTCATGGAGTCGGCCGGCGTCGCAGTTCCGCCGAGCCCGTTCGCCGAGTCTCGATGCAAATAATCGTTGCCTTCTTGCTTATTCTTCATGCGGACCTGACGCAAACAGGTCGCAGCAAGCAGCTCCGTGTCGAAACAGCGCCGAATCTGAGCAACACACAGGAGAGAAGTGCAGGTTGGACAATTTGCTACAGAGCGAACAACTGCAATGAAACGATGGGGAATAGCAAGCAGTGAATCGCTGTGGCAGATCGCGGCTTGCTTCGGAAACAGGCAAGCTGGGATAAAAGCAACACCTGCAAGCACAGAGGCTTGCCTAGTTGTAATAAAGTATTGCGGTTTTGATGCAGGAGGATGCATCCGCCAGCTCGTCGGAAGATGGATTGTCGGACGTGGAAGAGGAGGAGAAGGCCACGTCGCCACGTTTTTGCAGACCGCAGATGACTGCAGCAAGGAATAGTAGTGGTAGTACAGAGACGGGCAGGTGCCAGCAAAGTCCGCTCAAGAGCTCGAGGCGGAGTTCGAAGGCGCATTGGCATTGGCCTGCGGGGATTCTGCCTTTCGACCGGGCTCAGCACGTGAGTCATGCAATAGTCTGCACACAAGTAGGCATGCTGCCAATCAATCCAATGCCCCGGCAGGTTCAGAGTTTAAGAATCCGAGGTTTTGACCGATGGGTCCACAGGTTCGCAGTAGGGTTGAGCAGACGAATTCAGGGTCGTGGCTAAGTTGAAGAGAAACTCTAGCAAGTCCATTTCGCAGGGGTGACGAAAAGGCCATCCAAATTCGGACGAAAACAAAACACATAGATCTCGAGACAAATGCTTCAGTTGCTGATCACATCATGTGCTTGCAGGCTCTGGCTTTGTCGGGTATTGACAAGGAAACCGTGGAGTAGGACAGGATTCTTTCCTCCCGTTCAACGCCCATCCTCCCTTTTTTCCTATTATGCGTGCTTTCAGAGTCTCCTACTGTAGCGGCCCGAGTCTCGACTCCAAGGAATCCATTTGCAATGATTCATTGGCATAGTACAGCGTTCAGCGAGTCCATAACAAGTTTCTCGTCAGAATCCGTCAGACCACCTCGCCAGCGGAGCTTTCGTCCGATGTCCGATCTATAAACGAAGGCGAAGTGATGGTTGAGAAGGACAGGTTCGATGAACATCTGTATTGTCATAGCTCGGGTTGACGGGAGCTGGAATCTTTTTTTCTGAGCCGCGCTGTTCCGATTTACCCCTGCAGTATCTTGTTGCAAAGGCACATCTTTAGGCCGTCCGCTTAGGGAGTGGTGCTCGTGTGGCAACTGGTCTCGCCGGCTCAATGCCAGGCCTCGTTGTCGTGAGTTCGCATTCTTTGCCGACAACACATGTTCGTCTCGTGGGCCCGGATGTTACGTGTTGTTTTTGTCCGCAGTTCTTCTCCCTCGGGATCTGGCCAGATGTTGTTTGTTTTGATCAGGGCTGTTACAGTCGGTGTTTTTTGCTGTGTGTATTGGAGTGACGGCTGCATCAGGCGATACACGTGCGTTGCTCGCCTGCCAACTCGAGTGGCCTCACTCACATGAGAGCTGTAGTGTTCAACAAATCTGTTGCCAATTGTGGGTGCGCAGGAAGCTGCAGCGCGTGTGTGTCCGGCAGTGTGTCTGGAATGCTTACACTGCACAGCACAGCTTCCAAAAGTTTTACCTTCAGCGAAAATGCAGAGGCTTGCAGTGTTTGCAGGCAAAGACGATGAGGAGGTGAGTGAAGAAGACGGGCTGGGAGCATTGCTGCAGCTCCTCGGATTTGCAGATGACGTTCAGGGGTCTGTCCTCTGGCTGTTTGTACGTGTTTGCTCCCAAGTCACCCTAAGCGAAGCGAAACGCAAGAAGCACAGTGCAAGAATTGCTGCGAGGCGCTCGGACGATGCGGTGGAAGAGCGTCTGCGCAGAGTGCTTCGGAAGGGTGTCGGCACGAAGGACTTCGAGGTCGGGCGGATCGCGCCGTGACGTGACGTTGTGAGTGCAATGCGAGTTGCAGGCGATGGATGAGGCCGAACTCCAAGCTGTGGCTGAACAGGCGTGGAACGTCGCGGGATCAGCACGTCGCGACGATGCTGATGCTATGCAGCACTCAGGAGGAGATCGCCAACGTGATCCAGACCATCGGGGCATCTGGAAAGCTGGCACTTGCTTGGGCCAAGGCCTCAGATCCTCGGTGAGGCGGCCATGGAGACTCTAGAGAGTCTATAGAGAGCTAAGCGAATGAAGATTGGCGCGCCCCTTTTTTGGGCTTCAGGTCTTCATCAAGAAGCTGGGCTCGTTAAAGCGAGCTTTCAAGTGGTTCGACACCAGAAACACTCGCAAGATTCCTCAAGTGGCGCCGGTCTGAGACTCCAAAACGCTTGAGACGCGCAGATGACGCAGATGTGCTAAGCATGAGGGTGCGTTCTCGCTAGGTGTGGGACACGGGCTTTACGCTGCTGCACATCGATGCGGAGAGGCTGACAGGATGGAGGCGGGCAGCCGAAGGGGCTGCGGATGTTGTGGGAGCCCTTTGGGACATCTGCCAGTCTGGGGCATCCGAATGCCTGTGGGTCTGGGGAGGGACTGTCTGTATTGAAAGACTGTCTGTTCTTGAAGACAGAATGTAGAATTGGCGGTTGAAGCCTTCCTTTCTCCTCTTGTGCTGCTTTTGCCTGCAAATGTGGTTTGTCCAGAGTGCGCAACGCACTGCGCCGGCACGGAGCAGCTGCCTTTCTGTGCCGAACTGACTGCCAGGCCATTCGACATCTTCAAGCAAATCGATACAGAGCCCAGTGATGGAACCATCTCATACAAGGCACCCTGGCATCATTGATTCATAACTTGCTATTGGCATGGAAGTTCGGCACACTGCGTCAGGAGTGGAATAGCTTCTTCGCGGATGCTGCCAAGACGATCGCCTTGGAGATGGACTGACCAGAAGCAGGGGTTTGGGTGGGTGTTCACTTGAAAGCATCTACACCGTCAAGCAGGTGTCATAAAAGGTCAGCAGGGAAACTGTCAGCAGCAGCTTTAAGCAGTATTCTCAGTGCATGCGTTGACTCGCAAATCCATCTTAACACCACCACCTTGCCTCCCCTGCGTTGCTTCCGAGAAGATGCGCATGTCGAACGGCAATGCTTCCAACCGGCCGCATCCACGGTGCCTGATGAATCTGCGCACATCACTGCCCCCTCGTGTGGTCTTTGTGCTTATCGTACCGAGCCGACCTGGCCAGCACAACTTGCAGGAATCGCTTGGTGGAATTGACTTCGAGCAGCAGGTGAAGGAGACATCCGGTTTCCTGTGCTTGTGGCAATAGAGATGGATGGAAGTGCTCGGAAAAGTCCATCCGGGCTGCTCGTGCCAGTTGCGGCGCCACAATCTGAAGATGATGAGGGACAAGCGAAGGCCGGGTGTGCTGAACACCGGGACCACATCGTTGGTCTTCTTAGTGCTGTGCTGTGAGGAAGAACGGCAACAGAGCGGAGGCAACCTGGCTGTAATGTGCCGTGAAACTACTCTGGGCTTCTTTTGGCCATGCCGTGGCCTGTCGGATCTTTCTTCTCCGAAGTACATGACATGTGCGCAATGCGTGCAATGACATGGGGATTTTGAGGATTCGTGGCTGGACGATCTGCAAGAAAAGCAGGCCATGAAGCAGCAAGAAGAGGACTGTTCAGCAAAAGCAAGACGGGCCAGCACAGGCTGATGATTGCTAAAGTGTGGTCATCTGACAGAGGAGTTCACGAAGCGGGTGCGTGCCAAAATCACGGCACTCGACGAGGGCCAGCAATGGCCCTGGTGCAAAGACGGGCAGCGAGAATGAAGATTGGAAGATTGCCTGTGCTCGGGCTCGAGAGGTCCTTCTTGTTCGGCCGCGACTGGCTGTGCACTGCAGAGGCCCCCGCAATGGGCCCCACAAGCTGTGTGAAGCATCAAGTGGGCTCGTCACAAGAGTCAGGAACTTAGGCCTTCAGCAGCACAGCAGCTTGCAAAAGCTCTTTCGGAGAGGAGGCGCTCCTCCTGCTGAAGCCGTTGAAGCGAAGTGACATCGTCCAGCAGGCCGGACGAGAGCAGCAGCTCCGGCAGCTGTGTCTAATTAGAACCTAGTTAGCAGCAGGCATCGACATGCATTGCGAGCTTGCAATACGTTTCTGGCTAAATTTCTCCTGGCAGGTAGCGGAAACACTCGGCATCTGGTCATTGCCTTCTCCCGCATTGATCGATGTTCGTGAGATGCTGAAGCTTCGATCTCAGTGGTCGGCAGCTGCTGCAACTGCCTCTGGCCCCCTCCGAAATCAAAGCCGCGCTTGCCAAAAGGTTTCGGCCAGGACTCGGAGGCAGCCAGGACCGGGACCTCTCTGCTGAGGGTAGCTTTCCTTCGTGGACCTGAGGCATGCAAGTGTCAAGTTTGTGCCTGCGTAAGATGGTAGGTTTCAGTTTGTTCCTGCCGGAAGCGAGGACCCAAGGATGGCGCAGTACAGCTTGCAGCCTGTCATGGAATTGCCACAAGAGACCAGAAAGCATTTAGCACTCCTCGGTTCTGAGGCACACGTCATCGATAAAGATCAAGTCAGTAGACGGCTCAAACCCGGCCACTGAATCTCAGGACGGTCTGAAGGTTGACAAGGGCGGTGATTCGGGCAGCATCTTGGTTGTGAACCTCACGGCGTTCACAAAAAGCACCGAGGACCGACTGTGTGCTGTCTTCCAAGTGTGAAAGTTTTTCTCCTCAGCGGGTGGGAGCCGTACCGGCCCTGCCACTGTCTGCGGGCCTCAAAAGGCCCAGTGTGGCACATTGACATGAGATCCATGAAGGCTGGGGGTGGAAGGGGCCTGCAGGTGGATCTTCGTATGCCTTTGCAGTGCTCTGAATGGCGATCCGATGCAAGCTCGATCCTGTTGCGGTGTAACCTGGTCATGTGCGAGATCCAGCAGCGAACTGAACAACCTCGTGACGCGAGGCTCAGACCATGAGTGCAAAACTTGCTTTGCACAACACGTTCGTCCTGCGTGTTTTCAGATTGAGAACGGAAACATTAGGGGCGAGCCAGCATTTCTGGCAACTGTTTCCCCGGACCTGCAGCACATGGTTTTGCTACTGAAGTGGCTTGGGAGCGACATTGTAGTTCCGGACGAGGGTGACAAGGCAAATTATACCGGTGTGAAACTAGATTCGCTTGCTGCGTAACTTGGTCAAATGCGGGCGGCATCCAGCAGCAGAATGAAAAACCTTGTGACTCGTTGTGCTCAAGCCATGCGCGCGCCAAGGAGCTTGCTTTGCACAGTTCGTGCTGTCAGTTTGCAAGCACTGGGACGCTCCTTCACAGCACAAACCATGTTCTGAGATCAACGGTGGCCAGGTGTCCACGCGGCAGTGGGCGTTTGATTGTCAGCCGAAATGCGAAACATGAACCGACGTTTTGTCATGTCGCCAGCATCACTTCAGCGAACACTCGGGATTGTTTCTTCATTGCTTCGGTAGAATGGCCAGAAAGCAGGGTCCCTTTTCTCGGTTCGTGACTTGTCGCTTTACTCTCGTAAACTTGATGCATGCCAGGAGAAGCTCAAGGAGATTCCCATCCACGCCAGTGAGGTCTGAAATGGTCAAGAAAAGTTTGCAGAAGGTCGCGGGGCCCTATTTGTTTGCAAGGAGTTTCCGACATCGCTTTCCGAGCTAGAGCGTGGAGTCGTCAAGACTCTGGCGCAGCGCCGGGGCCCGAACATGTGCGACGCAACGGACCCGACGGTCCCGACGACCATCAAATGTCATTAAACATCCTGTTCTGAAGTGTGAGTGGACGTGCCTAGGCATGGGGTTTGCCGTCAGTGTGGAGAAGAACCTTGACTGAATGTTGGTGTGTGTCCTCGGCACCGACTGATGCAGTCCGGGCCGTTGACGAGGGTTGACGTCCCGTATAAGACATTGCGATTGTAGGCGGAATGAGCCACTCTCACGTGTCCTTGTTTTCAAGGAAGGGTGCCCTCTTCCAGATCACGGTTTTCAACGTCACGGGTCATTTCGTGAAAGACATGCAGCGGCAGCAAGGGCCTAAGCGTGGACACACCGGGCGCCTTCGCTGTTTGTGCCTTGGGACGATAGTCCTCTAGTCCCGGAGGCTCCGAGAGCTCGAGGAGGGCCAGGGCATGCGATTGTCCAAGCGCCTTGGCGTCAGAGCAAAGCAGATCCGCAGAGCAGCCGCTTCACCGGAGGAAGAGAGGCTTCAGGCTTCAGGAAGCCTTATCGCTCTCTCCCTCCCTCCCTCCCTCCCTCCCTCCCTCGCTCGCTCGCTCTCTCTCTCTCTCTCTCTCTCTCTCTCTCTCTCTCTCTCTCTCTCTCTCTCTCTCTCTCTCTCTCTCTCTCGGTGTTTCTGCACACGAGGGAGCTCTCCGACGAGGAGCGGCGCCTGGTGAAGGCGCGCCGAGGGGAGCCGAGGAGGGCCTGCGAGCTGTCCTCCACCGCTACTGCTGCGCTACTTGTAGCTTGTGTTTTGGTATGGCTTGAGTCGGATGCACGTAGCAGAGTGCAGTTTAAGATAGCCTTGGCTTCGGGGCTGCAGCTGCTTTCCCTTTGTGCGAATGCATCTCTGTGAACAGTGAACGGTGCTGCTGAAGGGCGCATTTGCTTTTTCACACTCCTACCAATGTCATGTCCAGTGACTGGAAACTGACAATGCGCACCCTCCATTTTCTAAGGTGTCCAGACTCAAGGCACAACACAGCTATTTACTCCATCTACAGTCAAAGCTACTCACATGTTGGAGAATCCAACGTTGTGTTGTTCTGTATATCAAGCAAGAAGCCAAAGCAACCTGCATTTCCTCTACAAGGCGCAAACATATGCAATAGTCACGCAGTCAACACCAGAGTCAATCAACACTGCCAAAATGCTGGACAATTGACATATAGCCTTGGAATCGCTGGTGGTCTGTTTAATTTTAACGCTACGCCGCCCGCCTCGGCTCTCCAGTGGCAGGGCGAGGGTCTCGTAAACGGTCTGGTCAGAGAACCAAAAGAAGACAATGCACGCGTGAAATGCTCGATTCAGAGCTTGGTGGGAAAGCCAAAGCGGGGACGAGGAAAAGGAGACGGGGTGTGGGAGGGGCGGGAAGGGGGGGGGTGGGGTGGAAAAAAGAGGAAGGAAGGGGGGGGGGAGGAGGCTTCGGGCAGTTCAGGGTGCGGTGAGTTCGGGTTTATGGTCTAATTAATGAATTAAGGAGTCAGGGTTGGAGTTTTGAGCTTTACCCTGGACACCCACTTGAAGTTGCTGGTTTGGGGTGCCTTGTTCCCTTATCCTACGATCACAGGAGATAGCCTGGGAGAGGGCGGGTAGGCCAACAAATCAGGTAAAATGAGGGGAAGCCGGGCAAGGGGGTGGCAAACGAACCCAAAAAACGGGTGTCTCCAAACATTTGGACTGCAGGGAGGAGGATTAGGTGGAGGGTACCTGAGGTAAGACCCAAGACGCCTGGGCCTCTGGCCTCGGCGGATAGAGGGTGTCTGTCCTTGCGTTTTCTGGCCTCAAGAATCGTGACATTAACGTCGAGACCTATTCGGTTCTTCGAACTTTGAAGCCCAGATCGGCACTTTACTATCGTTCCGACGCTTCGGAACGGTTCGGGACGGTTTGGGGCTGTTTCTGAACAGGGTTCTAACAGTTCCTGAGACTTGCATGATGGTTCCAGAGCCCCTGTTGGCGCTCACACACAAACAACCTGTCCGGCAGTTGAAGATATAGCTGTTTTGGCATCAAGAAGCTGCAAAACCGACATTTTTCTTGTTTAATAGGAATGAATTGTGGAATCTGCTGATTTTCCAGCGTTTTAGTTGACTGTAGTGTTGACTGGGTGTTGACTGTTAGTTTGCAGGTATTTGCGGCAGATTGGGAGTGCAAAATTTGAGTTCGTTGAAGCCACCGAAACGATTCAGAAGCAATAGCTAATAACTCACGCTCGTAGAACATACTCGGCAACTCTCGCCAATTGGGACCGTGGATGGAAACATCTTGCATAGATTTTTCCTTCACACCTTCGCATAAATGGCATTTTGTGATTCCCCGCGCCCCCTGTTTAATATTGGCTGTGAAAATCTAAACGACACTGACAACAGGAAGGACGACAAGATGTGCCTGCAACTGCAACGGCCGAATGAATGGCCTGGGAAAAGACTGACTCGCGATTTAATATTGCTGACCCCTCCGCCACCCTGTCCTTGGCTTGGGCACGGGGCTCGTTTCCCAAGTTCGCCATCCGGACCATAATCATCTGCCCACCTCCTTTTCCCTTGCTGTAAAACACATACATTATGATTCCTTCCTCCCCCATCCCCCCACTCAACTCGTTTCCAAAGCTGGAAAGCCAAAGAGTAATGGTCTGCCCCCCCTCCAACAAAAAACACATGCTCAGACATACTGCTCGTACAAATAGCTAGTAATAGGAATAACAATAACAAGATTCAGAATTGAGAACAAGATCAGTAAACAGAGGAATGTAAGAAAGATAGTCAGGAAATGAAAAAGACAATATACATCATGCCAAGCATGCACACACACCCTTTGGGTCCAATGCTTGCTCTAAAGTCTAAAGCTCGTCATCCCCGCCCTTACCGCTGCAACTGCTCACCGCCAAAGTTCGTATTGGTGTTACACTGACGGGTTTGACATAGGAAAGATCCCCTCCACCCCTCCGCATGTCAAAAACTTTTCGCACGCGGTCTCACCCATCCGCAAGCCTCGTGGCATCTCACGACCCGAGACACCTCAACTTAGCATCTTGTGGGCGGTGAGGCCATGGCCGAAGCGATGGGCTATGCAGTCACCGAGACCGCCGCAGGCATCGAGGCGGGTAGATCAGCTAAAAATTGCACGGCTGCACAGGATCTGCGGGGTTGACCTTCGCTTGCCATCCTGCCGCATTATGCCTGCCCTGTTGATCACGCGTTTTCCTTGCATGCCTTCAGCCCATGCTACAAGACCTGGGCGCAAACTGCAGTCTCGGACCTCTTGCAGGTGACCAATCTTTCGACCTATGCAAAGCAGATTCGCGAAGATCTCTCTCAGCTTGGTGTGGGAGAAACGCAGAGGTGACACGTCATGCACCAGTGCCAAAGCATCTTTCACCAGATTCCATGAGGTCTGGCACAGCAGTCGAGATACATGCACGCTGTCAGAGCTCAGGATCCAGCTTTCAAGCGCCACGGCATCGCTCTCGGTTGTCCATGCGGCCATTGCCGGCGTTTTCCAGAGATGGCTCCTAGCGCAGAGCCTGTGACATATCTGTGACTTCTCAGATGAGCACGACACGATCCAGCATTAATCTAGAGAACAGTCGGCGGGCGCCCGAAATGCTTGCCAAGCACACCGGATGCCCTCAGGACGAGCAGCAGGTAATCCTTCAAAGGGTGAAGGGCTCAGATGCTGAAGCTTGTGGAAGCTGAACGTCTTTCCAAGTTTCTGAAGAGGATTTTGCTAATGTACCGGTTCGTTTAGGAATATGGGCTCCTTTAATGCATTTTTTCCGGTGCTAATTCAAACGGCTTAATTAATGCTTTTTTTTTGCTGGGGAGGATATTTTTGGGGAATGGGTGTGCTGTCTGCTGATTGTCAATCTTAAGGCAGCCACGACCTGAACCCCACCCAAACCCCAAAACCCTGGGTTTGAAGCCCGAAAATCTCTTGCAGAATTGTTTCGCGTATTGGGGCGTCAGGAATGAAATTTCTACTACTACTGTACTACTACTGTACTTCTATTGTAGTATTGTACTGCTACTGTATGCATTGCTTCTAGGGGGGGCTGCTAGGGTGAACCGCCGAATCGGGAATTGGACCCATGCTCAAAAGATGCTTCTCCAGTACAAAAGTTTGTACAAAAAATTCAATTTGGGGTCGAATCTGGACTGACCCCCTTTGGGAAGGGTTTAGGGTTTAGGGTTTGTTAGGGTTTAGGGTTCAGGGTTTAACGGTTGTTAGGGTTTAGGGTTTAGGGTTTCAGGCGCTGGCTTTATGCTTTGCTTATTGGGGGAATGTGCTCACTGGCTTCATGCTTTGCTTATTGGTGCTATTTCTGTATCATTACTGTACTACTATTGTACTACTACTACTACTACTACTACTACTACTACTACTACTACTACTACTACTACTACTACTACTACTACTACTACTACTACTACTGTATTACTGCGGTACTACTACGGTACTACTACAGTTCTACTACTATTGTACTACAGTATTACTGTGCTACTACTGTATTACTGGTGTACTGTACTACTACTGTACTACTACTGTACTGCTACTGCACTACTGTACTACGATTTTACTACTACTGTACTACTGTTGTATGACTATTGTACTACTGCACTATTCTTGTACTACTACTGCACTACTACTGTACTACTATTGTACTACGGCACTATTATCGTACTACTACTGTACTACTACTGTATTACTACTGTGCTACTATTGTACTACTGTACTGTTATTGTACTACCACTGTACTACTACTGTACTACTATTGTATTACTACTGTACTACTGTTGTACTACTGCTGTACTACTACCGTACTACTACTTTACTACTACTGTACTACTACTGTATTTCTACTGTATTACTGTTATACTATTGTACTACTGTACCATTATTGTACCGCACCAAGCCTCAGACGTGGTCGATTGTGGGTGCCAGTGTGGGAGTGTAGGCTGGCGGCAAAAGTGTTCAAAATGCAGGGTTTTTTGTCTTGGTAGTTATCTTGGACTGATCGGGGCTTGGTTTCCAGCATTTGGTGATCCCCAGACCCCCCCCGACCGCGCATTTGCGCAGAACCGCAGACCCTGCACCCAAGCCAGCCCCCAAACCCCGGCACCTCCCAATTCCCTGCCACTCAGACCCATGACCCCCTGTCCGGGGCCACCGGTTCCAAATTAATCAAACCCAAAATTTTTGGTCGGGGGGGGGCGGGGGGCCGTCCATTACACGAACCGCTACATTAGAGCCTTCTGATACTGCAGGTGGCTGGGGAGCTCGGTCTGGATTGGGAGGAGGAGGGAACTCGGCGACAGAGGCCGGCTGCCAAGCAGACGCTTCTGTGCCCATTGAGCTGCGCAAGTGTCAACAAGCTGACTGCGTAGATGAGATTACTCCAGGATTGCCACCGTGGGGAACATGGTGAATTTGGTGGACGAGATGAGGGAGAAACTCTCCGACAATACCTCTTCAGGACAGTCCTAGCCGCTCCGTGCTTTGCATCAGAGCCTTGTGAGAACTATTTTCAGGCACGGTGCTGTCGTTCATCCTGCCCCCGACAGAATCACAGTGGCTTGACTCGACAGCTCGGAGGGCAAGTTTATTTATTTCACGAGTCTAAGCCTAAAGGCATTGGCTACACCGTTGGAAGCTGCATCTCAGTAGCCAGACCGGGCATGCGTCAAGGCGGCATTCATGTGCTTGCATCCCTCCAGCCAGGCGCGAAGCATTTTTCAACATGGCGCAGAACTATGGCTTCGAGCCACTTGGCTTCGATGCGAGATTTCGGGCAGAGCAATCCAAAGGCGCAGGCTGTCAAGCGAAGCAATGGAAAGATTCATCTCGTGAACCGGCTAAATTGACGAAGTTGGCGAACGTCGCACTCGTTTTTAGCTGAACATGTGTCTTGTGCCGCATGGCTCTCCGGCGAAGTGCCCATGAGCATCCATTGAAGAAGACCGTAAGTGTGCTTTGTGGAGAGCTTGTGGCATGCCCTTTCCATGCTATGATACCTAGACTCCTCAATCCAGTGCCAAGTAGAAACAATGCACATGCCGTCGATGCGGGTTGCTAGGTTTTCTTTTCCTGTTGTCCCTTTCTTCGGTTCAGTTCGTTAGTCGTCTTTCTTGAGAAGAGTCTAATTATTCCAATTTTGACGTCATCGGTGCGAGTTCCTGAATCTACGAAGATGAGAGAATGTGAAAGAGTTGCTAGTTGTCTCACGCCGTGCGATCGGGGATCTCCAGCCTTTAACACCGATACAGCATGAAACGAAACATTTGCAGGTACGTCCGATTGATCAAACCAGATATCGGTGTCCGATGCAAGCCTCTTCGTTGGACTGGCATGTGCATGGACAGCCATTCTTCCTACTTTATATTCCAGCTCCTATCATGTCAGACTGGATAGCGGTTCTCAGTCGCCAATTCCGCTTCTTTTCTTGTTGACAAAGTGTGCTCCGCAGTGTTCTTTGGTGGTGGCGAAGATTCATCCGTTTATTTGTAAATGCTCGATTTCAAAACTGAAGCTCAAGAAGCGAATCGCTAGTTCGTCGAAAATCTTCCGACAGGCTTTGTTTTCTGTCTCCTTGCTTCTCAGCCGTGTGACACTTTGCAATTCGCAGGCGTGAGAACCGGAGATGCATCATGCAGGAAAATGCCTGCGCGTGGCCTCAACCTGTGATTTTTGCTTTGGTTTGCTTCCTTCCGAAAGTGGAGGGTTGTCGCTTTGCCTTGCAAGTCTTGCCTAGTACAGTCCTTAGCAGACTTTGTCGCGTTGGGACAGGTATGGTTCGCTGCAAAGTTGCCTATGTCATTGGCTGGTGGTGTCAAATGTCTGTCTGCATCGGATATCTCCGCGATGCGCCGGTTGATGGATGACATGCTGCCGCTGAGAATCAAGCGAATCACTTGCCAAATCTAATGCAATCTTTGGGCCTGCGCCAGACCTGCAGTGGAAGATCTCGATGTTCGGAAATCTCACACACAAATGCTGTGTGCAACTGGGCTTCATGCACGCATTTGGCCCGCACAGCAGTTTTGACAAGACGTAGATTGTATTTTAATCCCTTGGTTCTGGAAAGACAAGTTCTCAATTTTGGAGCCGACCACTCCAAATTGGCTGGCGCTGCATTCTCGTGAAGTTATAGGCGACACCTGGATCCTTAGGGCATCATGGGACACAAACCTCAACTTTTTCCACCACGAGCGGATGGCTGACCAAACCCAACTTATTCCATATTCAACTGTAGTTTGAAGGAATTGCACAGTTTGGCAAGGCCCTGATTGCCACTCTGGCCTGCAAACAACTCGCAACCAACGGCCAGCGAAAACGACAGGCTCATCGAGGCAGTTGTAAGCTCAGTAAGTGCCAGGAAAACCATGCACGTCTTTGCAATTACGACCTTCAGGAAAGCCAGTGGTGCTTGCCTCTGCAATGCCAGCATTGCCCTTGACACGAACGTGTGGTAAATGACCTAGCAAGTTTCGATATGCCTTGACATGACATGCATGGATACCCAGATGCATTCAAGTACAGCAAAGGATACACGCCAGGTCACCACCTGCACGTTTCAAGCTTTGCATGAAGGCATTCTGCAACGAAAGAGCAGCCCGTGTGGAGATTTCCACACATGAAAGACATTTTTCCAGTTGTTGAATGTCGGTGATGCTTACAATCGGGCCAGCGGGTTCTCTCTTTTAGTCACGCGTAGTTTGGTCGTTCGGACTGACTTCAGGTTTCTTCTAATTTGCGTTCTGCTCTTACACATACTTGGCAGCGCCACATTTGCTACTATCCGAAGTCGCACCGTCCAGGCTTCATATCAAATGCCCGTGCAGAGACAGTCACGGTTCGAAACCTCAGCGTTGATGTGAGTGGGCCATGTCTCCGGCACGTCGCGGTGATCGATGCTGCCATGTTTGATGCCTTCTCTTACACAGGCGTTCGGCAAATCCTTTTGTGAATGGGCCCATAGGTTTATGTGGGCTGAGCACCATGAGCATGCAAATACCTCCTTTGCCGAGCTACTTGTCAAGTTTCTCCATACTGACGGGGTTGAAGCGCCCACCAACATGCATGAGTTCAGGCAGTCTGGAAAAACACCGACGACTTTGTTTCTGCATGCATGAGGACTCTGCGGGAGATTTGCCTCTTAAAGCACATGGTTTTGCCGAGGATTTGAAAACTTTCCAAGCTGGTTTAAGCTGGTTGCGTAAGCAAGGTGCAACATTTCTGTCGGGTGATGCCGTGTTGAAGGCACACTCCCTGTACAGCATCAGGTGCAACCGCCCAACGGAGGGGGTCTCGCATTGCGTAAAGCACCGTTGCTCATCTGACTAAAGGGTCGTACTGCAAACGAGTTCAAGGCAACGTCCTGCCAGCCATTAAATAAGTTGTTTCACTGGAAGTTTCGTGTGGCGTCTGAGGCTTCATCTCACAGTTGTTTAGGCATTGTCATTTCTTTCATTGTCGCTTTGAGTGACGGGTCCACGCAATGCTGGGGCACGTTCACAGCAGACATGAGCACGAAGCGTCAATTTTACATGTGTGTTTTTGCATGTGTATGTTTGCATGTACGCATCTGTGCATGCATGGAAGAGTTCTTGTCGAAGCACGAAGGAATGTGCACACCCAGAACGGAGAATAAGCTATAGCTAGGGCAGACTCAGCAGTTAAAGTTTTCTGTTCTGCGCACATTCGCCTGACTGGCTTGTCAACAATGGTGCTGTGCACACACAAGCACATGCAGCGCATGCGTGTTACGTGCGAACATTGCTCGGGTTGTTCGAGGTGCATCGGCAAAGAAGACACGGAAAAAGGTCGCTTGGGGCAGCATGCAGCCTGGTGTTTGGATATTTTGTTTGATTGGCTTCCCGTGCGCTCGGTATGCTTGACGTCATCGTAGGATAGTCTTTCAGGACGATAGCTCCTGGTTTTATAGCTCCAAGTGCAGGCGTCCGAGCCTTTCTCCGGCGACTGTCTTTCGAACGCAGCTCGCTTGCTGCAAGGCAGGACATGTGCCAATCTAGAGTCCGCGTCGACCGTCAACCGGCCTCCTCAGCCGAGTCCGCTGACAGTAGCAAGACACACGGCTCAACGTCAAATTCGCATATGCAGGCTCAATGTTATCCTTGCCTTCTTAGTCTTTTCCATCTGTTATACTTTGTTTCACCGGGTCGTAACCTTCCAATACTTCCGAAATCAAGCACGCGGCTGTTCACGAGGAGCTCCTGGTCCTTACTCGCTTATCTTGACAGGCGGCGTCGCAACAGCATATCTGCAACGGCAAGCACGCCGAAGGGAGACGGACAGGCCGGCTTGGGCGGGACCTCGTGGGACTCTTTATCCAGCTTTCTCTGGGTCGGTCAAATCGCGCGACAACTCGGGGCTGGCAACCGACAAACCTTGAGGCTGCACTGCGCACGCGGGAAGAGTGTGGAATTGTGGAAGGACACAGGGCTCAGGGGCTTCCGACCGCCTTTGATCCGGCACAAGCATGCAAGAGCGTGGAAGTCGACCCACCGTCACCAGAGCAACCGACCGGCCTGTACCGGTCGCACGAAGGCTGTGGAGTTCAGTGGCGGCATGTGGCGGCCCATGGCCCGTGCCTTCTGTCGTCCCGTCACCGACACCGGAAACCGCCTCGCCAACGAGAATGCATCCGTAGCGTTCAGATGCTACCCCGTTGCTTCACGGATAACCTTTCTGGATGCATGCCAGTTCGGCCTGGGCGAGACAGAGCCGCAGGGGCAGCAGGCAGGGGATGTTTGCTGTGCTGTGTTACGCATCATTGTCCTTCTCTGGAGGAGTCGCATCGGCTTTTGGAGGCCTGAGTTGCAGACAGCGCAGTGCTGGTGTTGGACACGGAGCCTTCCAGATCGCCACAGGAGGATCAGGAGGAGAGCGGGCTTGAGGAAGACTCCGAGGAAGAGGTAAAGCCACAGCTGGAAGAGGAGGACGAGAGCGTCGAGGAGGACTGAGACTGGCGTTTCGAAGACAAAGTTTTTCCTCCGAGATCCCCACTCCGCCCTGAAACATGTATCCCGCAAACCCGCAGTAGTCCCCTGAGCCTGAGCCGTTGTGCAAAAAAGGTGGGGGTTGCGCTTGGCCCGCCGAGAGGCCAAGCGTGTCGGATCAGGGGCCACGGCCATTCGTTTTGAAGTTTTTCGTGGTGCCTCCACGACGCCGCAGGCCTGAAGCCATCCGAGCTGGGGAAACCAGCCAGTCAAGAAGAGTAGCTTGTCTTAGAGCCCCCGCGTGAAGGACGAGTTACAGACCCGCACTGACCTGCATGCGACAATATGAACATTCAATGTGCACTATGCACTCGTTCATGTACATGCCGACAACATACTGCTAACAGGATTTCATGTTGCAGACATGCAGGACTCCCCGGAACCTTCCGAGTTGAAAGAAGACGACATGAGTGAGCTGCTGCTAATGCGCGGACTACAGTCAGGCTTGCGAGGGCCAGATTGCAGAGCCAGACACGTCCTTGACCGCAAGTGCCGACAGCCGATCGAGGCGAGGATCACCTCATTCCCAGAGTGTTCCGCCGCTATGCTTCGGGCAACTGGCGCGGTAAAGTGCAGCTCGGACTTGAACTTGGGGGTAACCATCTGGAGAATAGTTCGGGGTGATCTCAAGCTTGTCGCGGCTCTGCAGTAAGATATGTTTCAGTACTGAGCATGTCATGGCAAGACTCTGCGAAAGCAACGTATGTGCAACTGCGCTCATGCACCCGCAACCCCCAATGTGCACGGGAGCCCAAGGTTGTTTCTGCGATACGTATCTCGGAGAGAAACCTGTCGCACTGCTGTTCGAAAGGGTCGACATGTCAGTGACGTGCCAGTGTTTTGAAGAATGCTATTGAGTCTACGTAGCATTTTGGTCTCGGCTTGTGCACAAGAAGTGTTCTGGATGGTTGTGCTTTTTTTTCAAGTCGTATTTTCCTCAGGGAGATGTGAAAGACTTCGCAGAGGACCTCAAGCTGCCAAGCTCGAACTGGAACCGGAGACGCTTTCTTTTGTGTGTGTTTCTGTCTAAAGACCACTGAGATCACACCTCTGACAGGGATGGAGTTTCTCTGCCATGTTGGGGAATTAAGGTATGTCACACCCAACGTGGACACTCGGCTGTACCGCTTCACAGGCCACACCCACACCACTCCAGCACAACGTGTTGCAAGAGTTGGCTAGTCCTGGTCTTTCTGTCCGTTCGCGAGACGAGTGACGAACCGAAGCTCCCAAGAGCGCAGTCCTCGCGTGACTGGTATTCACTTCTTTGCCCGGAAAAAGGCGCTTGTATTTTGATTATTTCTGCCTTGACTAGCAGCGATTAGCATTTGTAGGAGAGCAGGGCGATGTGTCAAATTGTAAGTCACCCAGCTAAGAGTGACCGAGCGGCCTGATGTGGGCGGGCAAACCTACCACTTGAATGAAGTTGAGCTCCATGATTCTATGTGTCGCATTCGAGGGGTAGAGTTGCAGCGATGTTGAGAGCATCAGCCAGCAAATCACCCGTTTCCCTGGGAGGCATGTTCGAATATCTCTTCGAAGACACGCTACAGCTTCAAATTGACATGGGCTCCAGTGCTGCAAGTAGTGTCACAGATTGCGAGGCAGCATGCCGGGCAGGCTTGTGATCCTGGCCTGTGACAGACGCAACACACAACAAAGGTGTCCGAGTCGGTCAAGGTCTGACAATTGCTGCTTTGACGCATTACCGCGACCCTGCAGGTCGTGAGCTTCCTCTGTTTCCGTAGCGTTGCTGCCTCGCCGTTGTCTTGAGGTGTCTGGTTTCAGCGGACAGAGAAGGTTCAATGTGCAAACACCTGGGAAGACAGCCCTGGAACGCTCCCGCCTGCCCCATCCCACACGAATCCAAAAATCACATCTTCGGATATGCTTGAAACGCTGACCTTAGTCAAGGCTTTGGGATCTAAGCCCTCTGCCCTAAAGCGTGTAAGACGGTAGTTCCAGTAACAGCTCCTTCTCCCGATTAAGAGTTTGCCAAGAGCCTCTGCTTCTTTGGGGTTTTTGGAAGTTTCTTGGCGGAAGCCAAGGAATGGTTCCAAATCTTTCTACAGAAGGTCATCGCCCGACTGGGAAAGCAGTTCGTGCCGGTGCTCTTCCAGCTCCTGGACGAGTGATCGTCCCTACACTCAGCGGAGGCTACCAACGCCCTTCTGTGGATTTGAAGAAAAAGCGGTCAGCAGCACCGGTCTCAAGAGCCGGGGTCGCTGTAGTGGGATGAGACTCAGGGGTCTCGAAATCGCAAGCTCCGTGCTTGGCGTCAACTGACAGGGAGCTGCAGCGGCCCTTGTTGGGCTAAAGGATGCTGTGCGAATTCAGCGAATTTTTAAAAACTGCAGTCCAGCCGCTTGAGCGGCGAATTCTGCAATGTATATGGTATAGCCAGGATACCATTCTCAAGATTGAGCCATGCAGATCTGGCATGCTGACCTGTCCATCTTGCTAGCTGCCAGGGCTGGCTGTCACCACAAACTGCTTACCTCATAAGTCATATGAAAGTTTCACCAGGACGCCTTCTTGCAAAGAGTCTGGTCTTGAGGATGCCGTCAGACGTTCGCTGCGTCTTGTGGCCACTTGGCCCTGAATTTGACATCACCGGTGTTTATATTTGAGATTCCTCTGCCGCCCTTTGACTTGTCAAGTTTTTCAAAACTCCAGTTTCTTTAACATGGAGGAAGCTCAAGGATTGAGATTGATGTGTGCATGCTTCACTTCAACGTGTTGCAACCCTGAACCCAGGCTCCTTGCTGCGCACATGCATTTCAGCTGTCCGGTTGCGTCTGAGCGGCACACACCTACGCACCTAAAGCGGCTAGCGGCTAGAGCTGGTTGCCTCTGCAGTACCAACCCGCAATGTTTCGCGATATGCAGTGCGAGCTTTTGGACGTCTGGCTGATGGATTCATGGCTCATGCCATCTATGCTGCGTCGATCCCAATCTCTTGCGAAAGCTCCAAGCCCAAGGCTGAGCTTAGTGGGTTTTAAGGCAGCGTCTGCTTTTGAATGTTCAGAAGGTCGTACGGAGGTGATGCCTCTTGGTGCTCGGAATTGTCCGTGACTCTGGATTCTTGACTGGGGATGCTAGTCCTCCAGGAACTACGGGCTTTCCCTTCTCTCCTTGGTGAAGGGAAGGGATCAAAGACCGGCCAGTGGCGCGGGGGTGGAAACAATTGCTCGGCTAAGCCTGATAGGTTACCCTTCCAGCAGAATCCAGCAGAAGTCTTAAGAGCATGAGTAACACTTTGGCTATGCAGAGATACTTGTAGTGGTTATCGCTGTTGCCATCTTTGTTGTCGACATCATGAAAAATTCGTAGCTCTTGCAGACGGAGTGATACGATGTCTCCGCATGAGTGATGTCGCTTGGGATCTAGGAGCGTCGCTGTTTCTTCACCTCGAAGGCATTGCTATTTGACCTACTTGGTGGTCAAGGTGCTTCCTTAGCGGACAGCCGCTTCACCTTCACAGACAGGACAGGAAGCACATGACCATCGCTTGCTGGGGGTTGCGATGCGGGCTGGCGACATGCTGTGCAATCGCTCTGATGAAGCTTCAGCTACGTTGCAGCCTCAAATGTGGATGCAATGAGTAGAGTTGCCCGAGGAGCGATGGAGCTGTGAGGCCTCTTTCAGGGTCATGGGCTGGAGCATTTGTGTGCAGAAGTTTTCGCCCCAGCTGTTCTGCACCTGCTTTTGGTCGTCTTGGCTCCAGGCGTGTCGTTCTGGGGGAGGAGACGGATGAGCTCTGGAACACCTACCGTCACATGGCGGGCCCTTGTTGCGACTCGTCAGGTGGAGTGCGACATGACGTGGATAAAAGAGCCAGGCTACCTATGCCGTGAATGACAAAGTCGTCCAGGAAGTGAAAGACTGGAGCCGGAAGGCTGCACAACGACGTTGCATGCTGCAGATTCCGCGCTGAACTTGTCCACAGGCGAGCCCAGGGCTTGCGGCTCAAGCTTGATTCGCCTGATGCACACCGCTGCGCCTGGCATTTGGCTCAAGACATTCACGGGATACTCGCGCCAGTTACAGTAACACCACTATTTGCTGAAGGACTGATCGCATGTGCAGAGTGGAGATATGCATGGATCGGAGTTTGTAAAAGGCGTTTCCATGACATCTTATGCACTCGCAGTTTGCTATTGCAGCTGTCTCGAGGGATGGTTTCGTTCTGTCGGGGCTGATCTGGAGGCTCCCAGATGTCAGGCCTATGGAATAGAGTCTGCCATCTGGTCCTTGTTGAGCAAACCATTGGTCCTGTCTCCAGTGAAGCTTTGGTTTCTGCTCCTGCTGGAGTCTCAAGGGAACGACTTAGAGTGTCAGACGCGCAGTCGCTGAATCCCCCTCAGATCCCCTCTCTTTCCGTTACGGATGCGACGCCAATCGGATAATCGGGGGTATTGCAATGGACTCAGGCCTAGGCCTGGGCCAAAGTTTCTGGATGCTTATGTGGTTTGGCCCCCTGGTTGAGATTCGTTCGCGATATGTTTCACCTGAATCTCCCACCGACGAAAGTGCCGGCTTCTAACTTGTTATCAGAAGTTATGCTGTAGTCCTTGTCTGATAGCAGGACAGCTCTCCAGCAGCACCTGAGATCGAAAAAAACTTCGACAGCCAGGAGCCAAGAGTCTGGTTCTGTCATAGAAGGGAAGCCTTCCCAAAAGGATAAGAGAATGCTACTCAAAACTGACACCGCAATTCTTTCGTCATTGTGTCATACAATATCTGCTTCTCAAGCTGCACATGGGGCGAAAGCGTCTGGCATGTGGCTGGTCAAACGACATACTCAGACACTTTTCCAGTCACGATGCAAGCGCTGCTCTCGGCCCTAGGCTTCCTGGAACACTCCTTATGTAAAGGAAAGAGGAAAGAGGGAAAGAGACGCACTCAGCTCGGCTCCGCAGCTCCCCAGGTTTTGACTCCCACGCCGGAATGGGGGGGGACTCTCTCTCTCTCCGCCAGCGTTGCCGCAGGGGGAGGAATGCGGCAACGCTGAGTTACACAGGTCTCTCCTGCCCCCCCCCTCTCGAGAAATCTTCCTGTCAGAACATGAAACTGACTGAAGTTCTGCAGCTTGACTCACGTAGTACAACTTCTGATGCAGAGCTTTGAAACGTGGCGGCCGGACATGGGAGGTGTCTTTGGTTGCAAGAGGGCGGCATCGTGCGGCATCTGGTGCACATTATCGATACGACAATTGATAAAACGGAAAGAGGCAGGTCAGCTCGTCATCTTCTGTTCAAAATCGTTCGATTTTTATGGAAAACCTGCCTTGGGCTCGACAGAAGGATGAGCCTAAATGCTGGAGGCTGCTCCGGACCAGGTTTTTGGTTTGTCTTTACGGCACATCTTCGGTGAGGGGCTTGGCTTGAGTGTTTTGGGGTTTAGGTTTTCTGTGTGTCAAGGGTAAAGGTTTTAAGGTTTAGGGCTTTAGGGATTCGAATGTTTTAGGGTTTAGGGTTTTGGTCGCGGCGCGCGTACATGAAAAGTGCACAAATCGCACTCGCACCCTTCTGTCACATTCGAGCCCAGTGCTGATCTCAAAGTGTGGTCGAACGTGGGCCACGCTCGGAAGAAGCAGCAAGTTGACAAAGATCAAATCATCATTCCTGTTTGCAGATGCCTTCCCAGATTTTATGCTCACGGCTCCAGGCGCAACTGCTGCGCGGGCTGATGTGCACAGTATAGCTGCGTGCGTCACAGATATTGGATGATATTGGTCTGCAAAGACTAAGGCGCATCACTATCCGTGCGCACGATCCATCTACTGTGTAGCTATGTCTATGTCTCTGAAGGCCGGCCGTCGCTTGCATGGTGTCTTGCTTGGGTCCGGGGCAATGCAAAGCATTGGATATGCAGGAACAGTTGCAACTAGCAGGTTTTGCTTGGAAAACTCGTTGAACAAGGGCAAGGGTCTGTCGAGGTTCAGATAGGTTAAGTCAAGCAGGGAGGCTGAAATGATTGATAACGCTTAATATGGCAACTTTCTCCAAGATGCCGAAGGGCGTTGAAGTCTGACATGTCATGCCCGATTTCCGCTGTGAGTCGGTTTAGGGTTTAGGGTTTAGGCTTTGATGCATGTTCTTTCAGTCGAGCTCTCCTCACGAAGATCTGCCACTATTCTCCTCGAAACCTCGCCTGAGTAACCCCATCTAAAACGGGGAAGTTTCGCGGCGAAACGCATAACGATGCTTGTTCTATCGACATCAATCGAGACATCGTCGAGCGAAACCTTTTACCAACGCTATGAGCTTCCAAAGGATGGAGGTGGCCGATCGCAATCACTTTGATGGCATGCAGCTCTCCAGTCTGCGCGCGCGTTTTGTAGCGTTTTCCGCAGGCTTCCTCCAGCCCTCTCGCGGCTGTGTTGGGCACTCAGCACTATAGGCAATACTCATATGCGATGCTACACGCGGCATTCTTTTGGATGTAGAGAAGCATGACTGGGAGAGTCTTCACCTGAGTGACACACATTGTGGATCAAGGATTCAGCCTTCCAACAATCTCTTGATCCTTCTCGTTCTCACCGCAATTTGCATTGTGGCTCCCCGTCTGCAGCGAAGAGCTCTGCAAGAGCTGTTTCTTGAAGCATTTCGACCGATACGTGAACATGGGACTTGCGCAGCTTGTTGCCTGAAGCTTTGCCCAAGGTGCCTCTTGACCTGACCCAGCTCATTTTCGCTTGCCTCGGAGCATTCTGTTACTATGTGGCGGGTGACTGAGGGTGTGGAGAAGCGCCTAGTCGATGTGATTGCGATTGTGGTGCCTTCATCCGCCTCGTGTAGGTGCAGCTGCTCCAGCGCTCCGTCTCCGTTCCTGCCATCAGTTCCCTGTCATGTCGAAGAGTGCTTCGAAGCGTTGCTTTCCGCTGCAGACTTTAATTGGTGGCTTTGTGCAGAGCATACTTGGCTCTGTGCTTTCTTTGTGGTTGAATCCTGAGTTGCCATCAGGCAGCTCGAAGAAGCTGAAAGCCGCCAGTGCCACGGCCGCTTGGCTGAAGCTGTGCTGGACATGGGAGAGGCTACCACAGGCATGTGTATGCTGCATCCGGCCTTGTTTCTCCGCACACCTTTCGAACTTGCAGGACTCCGATTCGTCCAGCGAGCGTCCTGTCCGCGAGGCGTGGACATGCCGAAGGACATGCAAGGCCAAACGCACACAAGCGAATGGTTCGCAGCGACAAAAAGCTGAGCTGAGAACTGAACAGCGTTTTCCAGTTCCCACTCTGACGAGGTTCGCAAGCCGAAGCGTATCCTTACGACGACGAGGCCTCTATTGTGTGCTCCGCGAGAGACGTCGGCAGCGACACGGTATGGAATCAGTGAACAGGAAGCCTGGTGCTCACGTGGACACACAGGCTCAAACACCCGCCGTCCACGCCTCAATGCACTGCTCGGTGGGCCTCTTTTCGCATGAACCCTGGCCTGCAGCTGTAAGCCTGCAGGTGCCAATTGTCGCCCCCAAATTTCAAGGACAAAGCCTTCAAGAGGAGGTTCAGGACTGTTGGTGGTTCTGTGTCAATCATGCGCGCGGTGCATCCCCAAAAGATGGGGTATGCAAGATCAGGAGCTCGTGTCGCAGATCATGTGCCGACCACAGCTGCACCTGCATTGACTGCTTGATATGTGTGAAGCCGTACAAGCATCGTACACTACAGTCGCTGCATGGCTATGCCTATGCATGTCTCTGAACCTCGAGCTGTCTGAAGAGTGTCCCGCAGGCCCACGGCCGCCAGCCAGCGTGGAGTGGATCGTCTTGCTGAGGACGGCATGATTAGAAGAAACATTTCTTTTTGGATTTGAGCCGCAGGCCTTCGCTTGAGATCCCTGCAAGCTTCGTAAGGCGATTCGCGTTATGCTGGCCAACAGCCTCCCCGAGGCCAAAGGGCCGAAATCTGCGATGCAACAGAAGATTGCAAGATGTTGAATCGGAGTTGACCCTGCTCAGGTGGAAGTGGTGGGGTTCGCGAGCAGTGACCTTTCACGAGGGCGTGCAAACGGTGTGGCCGTGCCGGACGTGGACATCGTCTCGCTCTCGGGCCCAGCTGAAAGATGTGCCCAGCTTCCTTTGAGTGCCGCAGCGTTGCAGCATTGAGCGGACGTGGTCCGATGCGCGATGCGCTGTCCGTTTCTGTCCAAGGTGATCAACGTTCGCCCCGACCGTGTGTCCCCGAAGGTTGCCTCACGCCCTGCGAAGGTGCGGTTGGAGAAACGAAACGATTAGTGAGGCCTTCAGTCTTGTCGGGAAGTGGACAGCCGTTTTCAGAACCCAAGAGACAGGATCTCGAAGCACTGCCGACTTTATACGATGGAGTCACGCCGAGCTTGATTCGAGTAGTGCGCTTCTGCCAGCCTTCAGGTGTCATCTGATCCTCGAATGCTGCAGAAGTGGGCGCGGCTCATCTTTGTTACGCTATGCAGGTTTTGATACCCGGGAGGGGATGATTTGACATCACTTGGCGGTAAAGTGTTGCAGATGCTTTCGACCTCGATTCCCATCAACAAAACACCAGCAGCTTCTTTCTTTGTCGGTCTTGTAAGGCTGCGCCACTGTGCGGACCGCTTGGTGTCGGCGCGGACGCCTACAGTCAATGTCGCCTTTCGATTAGCATCTTCGGCCCTGTGTTGATGTGAGTCATGTTGGTTGGCTGGTCTTGCTTGATGCAGATGGGCAGAAGGGTTTGATTATGGAGCTCCGAAATGTCCTTCGTTCAACTTGATACGAAGGCGGGTGGCTTCAAATTCCGGCGCTCGGGCTTCCGTGGGCTTTGGCCCCGGCTCACCATCGCTTGTAGCATGGATCAGCGTGGGATTCCTTCCAGGAACGAGCCGAAGATGACTCTCCTGGTTCCAACTGAGCTTGGCATTTTCAACCAGGCCGTGGCCGCGGTTTGACCGGGAGAAGCCTTTTTCTGCGCACACGGAGCGCCCTACCCTCCTAGGCCGTGCCCATCGACATTGCTGTGAACGCTGTCGCGCCGCTGCACAGCGCGGCCTTGCTCACGGAGTCCTTTGGCCGAGCTTCGCAGAAGGGCTAAAGCCATCTCGGGTCTAGGAGGGATTCCTGCAAATACAGCTTGCAGAATTCGCTCGCCTGCAGATGTGGCAACATCAACCCGCGCAGCAAGGAACGGCCCAGTGTCGTCACTTCTTAAACCTCTGAAAACCGCGACGGGTGGTGATGTTTTGCAGGAGCTCATCCTGATCATACGACGCTGGGCAAAGGACCGGGGAGTTTGCCATGCGCCCAAGGTGCGGTGCGAGTGAGAGCAAGCCAGCGTCCACTCAATGGCATTGAGTGGCTGTCAGGGCCACTTGTCACCATATGTGTGGAGTTTGTTCCGCCCTCGGTCAGAAAGAACGGAGCATCAGGCCTTCAGGGGCCGATGCGGTGCAGAATGCAAACAAAGCCTGAGGTTGGTGGTGTACTACCTACAGGTGGCTGAGCGGTCTGAAGGGGCCCTTCTGCCACCGATGGAGGAGTTCGAGGCTCGAGGTCTTCTGACGAGCGCCTGCCTCGGCCGACTGCAAGCGGTGCCTTGCAGAGGCCATTGCGAACCTCCTGCCCGACCGCAGCAACAAGAAGAGCCTCAGCCTCTGGCAGACCAAGGCCAGGCGAGGTTCGGAGCTCCACGTTTGCAGGGCTATCGTCTTTGCAGGAGGAGATGCTGAACGTCCCGCTGGCACAACTGCTTTGTGGCTTCATGCCGCTCGGGAATCACCTTTGCAACCACTTTGCGAGTTGTTGCAACCGCAATCCTTGCCTCTTTGGTTTCATTACCGAGGCAGTTCTACAACAACTTCCCCTGGAAGCAGCAGGTGCTTCGACTGCTTCTTGCCAGGTTTGCAGAAATCGGCGTTCTAGGCGATGATCGATGGCCCTGTTCCAGGCAGTCTCTGTTCTCAGGGGCACTTCGGGACCGGCCCCACTGTCGCTGTGGGATCCCTGGCCCAACTTCGCCAAGGCTCCCCCGAAGTTCCCGGGACCGAGGCCAATCAACCTTATCGAGCACGATGACGGGAAGACCGTGGCCTTCCTGACATGGTTGAGGTGGAGGGAGGCCAAGTTGCAGTCGGTCCCAGGTGGAGTGCGGGCCGAACATCGAAGATCCCTTCGCGCCGAAGACCAACCTGGGAAGCAGCGCCCTGGCACGAGAAGTCAAGTAGCCTCGGCCAGGTGCAAGAAATCCTTCTGGTTTTCGATGATGCTTGTTGAGATTGAGGCATGACGTGGTGGAGCTTTCAACGTTTGCGAGAGGAGCTCGCGAGGCTGGAGCACAGCATGTAGAGCCTGTGTGCAGACGAGAAGCTCTAAACTAGCCCGGAAATCACACGAAGAGGAGTTTATCCGTATCAGTTTTTCTTCTGTTTGCGCAGCCGATCATCTCTTGCAGGGCGGCCTCCCTCTTGTCCGACGACACTGCGCTGGGGCCTTGTCGATCTTTACTGCGTTGCTTGCCGAGCCTACGTTGGAACTAGTAGAACAGAGACTGAAGAAGATCTGAGTGTGAGAATGCGTTCGAGGCTCTCTGCTTTGCTATAGCCTGCCTTTATCATCGTGCGAAGTGTAGCCATGAGCAAGCCGTGTTGAACAGACAGCCTTGTTTATGTGATATGATATGATAAAGCTGCACTCGGCTGAGGTCGAGGTCAGGAGGAGTTGAGGGTGTAAGGTTGAAGTGTGGATTGTCTCGAATCGACTGCCTGAAGCAAGAATTTTCCAGCTCTGTACGTACTGGGAAGGTGTGTGCTGGCCGGGGCGGCTTTGCGATTGGGAATTTGTTAACCGCTTGCCGTAGCTGCGTAGCTTCGGAGATGCGGGCTGGTGATGGCTGGTGTCCTGGTGAAGCTCCAGGTCCATGTCCAAGCTGCTCGAGCCTTGGGCACCCGAAACTCCGGAGGCCAACGTGTTTTGGGCTTTGGTGTCCTGGCGACAGCTTGCAGTGCATCAGCTTGCATCTTGCCCATGAGTGTTGCCAGGCATAGTGAGATGCTGATGGGAGAAACCCGCGCGCAGAGACGCGCAGAGCACAGAAAAGGTTGGCCGAGAAGCGCCGTGGCCGCTGCAGTTTGCCTGCTGAGCTCTAATGCTTCCGGTGCTTCTTGATGTGAGCCAGGAGAACAGCATGAGACTTGCGAGAGTTACAGCCTCCACGTCGAGTGCAAGTTCATCCTCCACCCAAAAGAAGCTTAACTCAAAACAAAGGCAGCAAGCAAAATGTTTCGTGCCCCGCTCGACTCGGTAGTCGGTCAGAGTACGAAACTGCATATTACAACTTCTGCTTGACTTGTAGCATTGCTGTGTTACCTTGACCGTTTTTTAATTTTTTTGCCAAGGATGGTATCCTCGACCCTCAGTGCCGTGGCTCGTATCATGCAGGTATGCCGATATGCCTTCAAAGGGTGAGCAAGCGCCTGAGGCACTGTTCAATCCCTACCAGAGCACAAGGAGACCTGCTATCTACTCAGTCAGTCAGAATGCAAGCGGGTGGATGTGTATGACGCGCAGTGCAACTTCCGTGCATAGCAAAGCAAACTTTTAAACTCGCGCAAAGCAGACCAGGGTGGGGTAGGGTTGTGGGCCGTGGCAGGTTCATGAAGGTGTATTGATCGACGCGAAGCAGCCTTCCATCCTCTGCCCGTTCTACAGTCCGAAGCCTTAAATCCAAGTGCGACGTATCAGAAGCTGGCAAAACCGTCGCCCGAGTCAAAACCGTCGCTCGAGTGGTCCTGCGGCTTTTTCGGTGCTCTGTTTGAAACTTGTGGGCATGACTCCCTGCAGTTTGGCAGGAACAAGTGTAAGGCAGTGTAAGGGCATGGTGGAAGCCTAGCAAGGACGAAAAAGCAGGAGATACAAGGGATGGGTCTGGACTGTGAAGCTAAAGCATCACCGGCATAGCGGATAAATGAAAGCCAGCATGGTGCACGTACACATGCGCAAGTGCAGCATGTGGAGGACCGGTTCCGTAAGCTGGAAATCCACAGCGAGATCTGTGCACGGCTGCAGGCCGATGAATTTTGAAGTCACGGGTGCGAATCTTTACATACGGTGCCCGCAACTACCAGCTCAGCTCCGGTCTGCAAAGTTGCAGCTCTATATAGCTTTATTGACCAACGGATCAGCATGTACAACTTGATGCCTTGGCCAGAACATCGTCGCTTCAAAGCTTGGCTCTCAGATCTGATTCCAAGTTCAATTCAGCATCTCTGTGCCAAAGCTGCCCTGGAGCATTGTCGAAGGTGGTGTGTGTGAAGCTTGAAGATTGTTCGGTTCCCATAAAACGAGCCGCGCGGCAGCCACTTCTGCCCCCTACTTCTGACCACGGGTTTTGCTGTAATTCCTCAAAGTGGGAGAGACTTGGCCTCTTTCCAACTTCAGTTTCAACTAAAGCTTTCCCACATTGCTGGCTTCTAAGATTGAGTTTAGCCATCAAGCTTGGCATTTTCGAGACAAAGCAATGAAGCTTTGCGAGATGTTGTGTAACACATGGCCCCGTCTCTCCGCTGATGCGATATGGAGACACACTGACCGTCATCTGCCGTGCACGCGGTTAACCTTGCACCATGTCAACATGCGATGGCTTGAACAGTTTTCCATGCTTCCTTTTTGCCGCCATGGGAAGTTTGTACACACAGGGGGGCAGGGAGCACTGCTGATCGTCGTTCTCCTCCTACCGGGTATGCCCAAAGGTGCCGATGCTGGAGGATTTGTGCATTCCGTCTGAAGAAAAATCTCTTGCAGTCACACTCGGGGGCTCTTGGGACGACAAGTTGAGTGTGTATAAGTTATTTTCTTCTTCTGACGTCTTCGCTATGATCTTCCATGCGTCGTTCCAAAATCGTGTTCCGTGGCCGTGCTCGCCTAATCCATTTCCCTCACTCCGTCATGTCGGCAGTTAGTCCTTAGTCTACGCCTTCTTGGCATTCATCACATGGTGGCACAATTTCCGAGATGGCTTCACCAGTCACATCATGCTAGTATACTCCGTCAAGTTGAGCACATCAAAAATTGCTGTGTCCTTTTGGAGTGCTCGGGTAATCATTCGCTACAGCTAGCTGATCTCCGTCGAGTTCACAACCAGATGGTTCATGAAAATGAAATGGCGCAAGCAGTATGCCGAGACATTCTTCAGGCTGGATTCGGGGTTTGGTGTTCCACTTGTTGGCACCTTGTTGGTTTCCGTTTACTGGACACGTCCATGCAAAGGTTTGATGGCTGTTTCATGGGACAAAGCACCCCTTCTGCTGCCGCCGATGTATCCATGTGGTTGCTCATCATTATGCTGCTCGAAAGAATGCCTTTCCTTTGGGAAGTTTATCGTGATGAGTTTGTCAGTTGGCCGCGTGCGTGGCTGTTCGGCGGCGTCCGCTGTACATGCAATACATGCACCATGCCAGCATGCGATGGCTTGAAGAGTTTTCATGCTTCTTTTCTACAGCCCCGAGAAGTTTGCACAAGCAGGGGGCAGGAGAACTCGTGGTCGTTGTCCTCCAACGAAGACATGGTGCAAACGTACCAGCGAAAAAGCTGTGCGATTGCGCCAGCAGATGAAAAGCACCAGGCCTCTCTGAGTTGGCCAGATTAGCCTTTTTTTTTGTATTTGCTTTCTCCCTGCACTTGACTTTCATGCGCGTTTGCCACAATCTACATATTTCCGTTTGAAAATGTCAGTTTGAGTGGTATTGTAGAAGCCTTGAGGCAGGTGTGGTGCAATTTTTCCATTCTAGCCTGAGCGAGTGTGAAGTGAGTGTGTTATGTAGAGACAGTCATGGCATCCATAGACGTGCATAGCATTTCGATAAGTCCTTTCCCATCGAGCTTGCGTCTCACTGCACCGACCAGTGTTGTGATTTCAAAGCTGCGCGCGCGCGCGCGCGCGTGTGTGTGTGTGTGTTCTCGTGTTTGCTTGTTTGTTCGCTGGTTTGTTGGTTCATTCGTTTGTTTTTTGGTCACTTGTTTTTCGTATGCGCGTGCGCAATGAGCAAGTGTCATCTTCGATACGTCACAAGCACAGCGAAGACAGAGGCGGCTGATCGAACTGGCCACGCTGGAGCAGGCCGGAGGGAAGTATCACACCCAGAGAGTCCTGGCAAGTTCAGACTGTTGGATTTGCAGGACATGGCAACGGGAGTTTCCAGAAGTGGGGCTGGTCGCTGAGAAACATTCTGTTATTGCTCAGCGGGCTTTGTGCATGTGGCGGGATGGCTTCATCAGATACCATGCTGGTAGAGCACGTAGGAACCCATCGATTCGTGCAGTGGGTGTTGCACAGGTGCCGTTGAACCCGAAGTCCATCGAGAGAGACCTGCTCTCATTTCTTCAGGACACGAGCGGTGTTGTTTCCGTGGTGTGGCTCGTGTCGCAGCGTGTCGGAGCCTGCCAGACAGGATCCAACGCAGGACACCAGCACCAAGCTTCGCCTTCTCATGCTTTGTGAGGCGACCACCCGACATTCCCTGAACATGCAAAGCACTTGGCTGCGGCGTTCACTGCCTGTTGATGGCATTCTTCAAGGGGTACATGCATCAGATGTGCGGCAGTGCATGGCTCCTCGTGAACTCAACGATGTGAGCATAACCTTGGCTGCTCACGCTGCACGTGCAATTTGCAGGCGACCAGGGTGCTCGAGACAGGCCGGAGATGAGAAGGGGTTTATAAGCGCGAGGCAACACTTGCGCATTCTGTCACCTAAGACAAGGTCGTCATTTGCGTATCGATTTGCAAAGCCATGCAAGGCAACCTGCTTTGGATATCAGTGTTCGCGACTTCTAAGTTTGCTAGAATCGACAGGATCATTACCCTATGTTACCCCGTGCCTTCTGACGCGACTTCCATCAGGTCCGGGAACTGGGCGTCTTGGTGTTGCGGAGCTCGCAGCCCCTTCGGCTCGCACTGGCCGAGGAAGTCCGTGCCGATCTACGCTGCTCTCCATGGCAGGCACCCTTTCTGCCCGCGGCGGACCTGCGCAGGTTGCAGAAGTTCATCGAGGCGCACGCAGTCACGCAGCTGCTGGGACTGCACCGCGCAGTCCGCGCTTCATAGAGTCAGGTTGCGCGCCGCTATCGGAGCCAGTACGTGCACGACTCAGACGAATTCGAACGTGCTGGCATCAGCCTGCGAGCACCGAAGTGGCAAATGCGAGGCTGAGCGACGGCGCTGGCCCCGCCGACCCGAACCCGAGCCGGGTGCAGGTCAGTGAGATTGCATGGTGTCTGGTGACGGTAGCGGAGTGTAGTGGCGTGTTGCTTGCATTTGCCAGGTGCCGAGCCGGTGAGCCCTCGCCTGGTCCCTACACAGGCCGCTTGCATAGTGTCTTCGCACGCTGTCGACTAAGGCAAGGCTCGCCTCTGCCGTTGGCAGCCCAAAATTGCTTCGATGTTCAACGATGCGGAAGATGCCTGAGCTTCCGCATTGCCAGAGGACGTGAAGAACATGTTCAACATCGCTAAGTCTTGCGAGAAATGCCTGATGGTTATGT